AAGTTGCTCAAATTCACCTTTAGCAAATACTCTGATGAGTTTTTCGCTAAATTATTTATTGCTATTCAATTGGATTTCAGATTCTAACTCTCTTAGAACTCTGCTTGAATCTTCAGATTACTTAATAGCTTTCTGCAATTTAAAAATTATCTAACCTCTAGATGTTGATAAAAAGCATATGTCAAAGATTATAAACATCTTTTTCAGCTTAGGTAAATCAAAATGGAATCTACTGAGGCTAAGATAACGAGTTAACTTTAAAACATCAATCTTACAATATAAGATGAGAAATCTAAATTTTGGGATAACTTCTCCTCTGTTTATGATCAATAAGTTACAAGAATGGCAACTCAGCCATTCATAACTCTTTGCACCCAGGCAAATACTTTCTAATGTAAAAGAATTCTAGAGGTTGCATGTGGTGGTGGATATCACTCACTTATGGTTGCAAAAACAATGCTTTCAAAAGGAGGGGCCTTAGTATCTTGCGATTTCAGTGGTAAGATGATGGAACTAACCAAACAAAAATATGATGATCTAAATTGGAGCTCTGGCTACACAGATGTAGCTGGAAATAAATATTATATTACTTCAGAGTCATTGCTGCCTCTAGGAGATCACTCATTTGACCTTGAGGAGGAACTTAAGAAGCATGTTGAAAATGAAAATGACAGATTCGTATTTGGTTGCCAAGCTAACAATGAATCTCTACCTTTCAAGGATGACACTTTTGACTGCTATCTGGCTAATTTGTCACTTATGCTTGTTGATAATCATAAGAATCAATTATCTGAGGCATTAAGAGTTTGCAAAAAAGGGACAAGATTCGCCTTTACTGTTTGGGGAAGTGAAGAAAAGAATAATAATTTCAAAATCCTTAATATGCTTATTGATAAGTTCAAGATTGGACCTGCTGAGAAGCCAGTCAAAACAAACTTTCACATTAGTTAAAATAAGGAAGCAGTAAGATAGGAAATGATTGAAATGGGTTTTTCCAACATCAAAATGTGGTTCTAACCTATGAACTTCCCTTATCAAAACTTTGAAGAGTATTGGGCAACTATATTTGGTTAACCCCCAGCTCAAGCAGCAATGGCTAAATTAGACGATGAAGGAAGAAAACAAATTAAGCTTGAAGCTGAAGAACTTTACCATCAACTTCTAGGTGAAGGTGCTCTTGATCCCGATTGCTTTGAAGTGATGATTATTGTGGCTGAGAAAAAATGAACTTAATTTTAATTCTAATTGAAGGATAACCTAATCAGCAACCCTCATCAGTACAACTAGGAGCCCCATCACAAATCAAACTCAAAATGCCTTTTCATTTGGACAAAGCTCAGGCAATAACCCATTGCTGAAATAATAAGCCTAACCAAATGATCAACAAAAAATCACTAATCCATTTGGATTACTCAATCAAAATCAGAGTTCTTTAACTAATATAACCTTGTCTACAAGTCAAATTTTCGGTTAATCTTAGATAGGGATTGCTCAAGCCTAAAATTCCAATAAAAACATAGAAAGGCCAAAGAAGAAATAAAGAAAGACTAGCTTAAGGAATAATAGAAGGAAGTCTTCGGCGCTTAAAATTAAGCATCTGATAAACAACCAAGCGATATTTTCATAAAAGGTGCAAATAATTTAGATCCTTTTGGCAAATTAGATACATCTATAGATTCCTTTACTGTTGGCAATAAGAAAGAAGAGATATAAGGTCAACCAGACTCAACAAGTTTCTTCGGTGCAAAACCTTTAAAACAAACTCAATAAATCTAGCCAGTTTAATTTTGTCAAGGAATTTAATCAAGTGGATTTTTGGGACAAAAAAAATAAGAAGTATTGATAAACTCAAATAGAGTTTTATTAAAGATCTCAGAGTTAAGGTCCTCATTGATCTAAATATCTACGATACTTTGAGAAAGTTTATATAACTAACTCAAGAATAATGCGATGTTCTGGTCTTTGTTCTTATAATCAGGGCTAAGATGAATTAATTTGTAAAGTTGCTCAAATTCACCTTTAGCAAATACTCTGATGAGTTTTTCGCTAAATTATTTATTGCTATTCAATTGGATTTCAGATTCTAACTCTCTTAGAACTCTGCTTGAATCTTCAGATTACTTAATAGCTTTCTGCAATTTAAAAATTATCTAACCTCTAGATGTTGATAAAAAGCATATGTCAAAGATTATAAACATCTTTTTCAGCTTAGGTAAATCAAAATGGAATCTACTGAGGCTAAGATAACGAGTTAACTTTAAAACATCAATCTTACAATATAAGATGAGAAATCTAAATTTTGGGATAACTTCTCCTCTGTTTATGATCAATAAGTTACAAGAATGGCAACTCAGCCATTCATAACTCTTTGCACCCAGGCAAATACTTTCTAATGTAAAAGAATTCTAGAGGTTGCATGTGGTGGTGGATATCACTCACTTATGGTTGCAAAAACAATGCTTTAAAAAGGAGGGGCATTAGTATCTTGCGATTTCAGTGGTAAGATGATGGAACTAACCAAACAAAAATATGATGATCTAAATTGGAGCTCTGGCTACACAGATGTAGCTGGAAATAAATATTATATTACTTCAGAGTCATTGCTGCCTCTAGGAGATCACTCATTTGACCTTGAGGAGGAACTTAAGAAGCATGTTGAAAATGAAAATGACAGATTCGTATTTGGTTGCCAAGCTAACAATGAATCTCTACCTTTCAAGGATGACACTTTTGACTGCTATCTGGCTAATTTGTCACTTATGCTTGTTGATAATCATAAGAATCAATTATCTGAGGCATTAAGAGTTTGCAAAAAAGGGACAAGATTCGCCTTTACTGTTTGGGGAAGTGAAGAAAAGAATAATAATTTCAAAATCCTTAATATGCTTATTGATAAGTTCAAGATTGGACCTGCTGAGAAGCCAGTCAAAACAAACTTTCACATTAGTTAAAATAAGGAAGCAGTAAGATAGGAAATGATTGAAATGGGTTTTTCCAACATCAAAATGTGGTTCTAACCTATGAACTTCCCTTATCAAAACTTTGAAGAGTATTGGGCAACTATATTTGGTTAACCCCCAGCTCAAGCAGCAATGGCTAAATTAGACGATGAAGGAAGAAAACAAATTAAGCTTGAAGCTGAAGAACTTTACCATCAACTTCTAGGTGAAGGTGCTCTTGATCCCGATTGCTTTGAAGTGATGATTATTGTGGCTGAGAAAAAATGAACTTATTTTTAATTCTAATTGAAGGATAACCTAATTAGCAACCCTCAACAGTATAACTAGGAGCTCAATCACAAAATCAAACTCAAAATGCTTTTTCATTTGGACAAAGCTCAGGCAATAACCCATTGCTGAAATAATAAGCCTAACCAAACGATCAACAAAAATCCACTAATCCATTTGCATTACTAAATCAAAATCAGAGTTCTTTAACTAATACTACCTAATCTACAGGTCAAATTTTCGGTTAATCTTAGATAGGGGCTGCTCAAGTCTAAAATTCCAATAATATCTTTGGAAAGGCCAATGAAGAAATAAAGAAAGACTAGACTTAGGACTAGCCTAAGGAATAATAGAAGGTACTCTTTGGCGCATCTGATAAATAACCAAGCGATATCTTCGATAAAGGTGCAAACAATTAAGATCCTTTTGGCAAATAATCAAGTAATTAAACATTTTGTTTATAAATTAAATACTTCTATAGCTCTCTTTACTGCTGGCAATAAGAAAGAGGAGATATAAGGTCAACCAAACTCAACAAATTTATTCGGTGCAAAACCTTTAACACAAACTCAATAAACCTAACCAGTTTAATTTGGTCAAGGAATTTAATCAAGTGGATTTTTGGGACAAAAACAATAAGAGGTAGATAAAACGAAGCAAGAATAAGAGTAGATATAATAGTAGCAGCAACCAAAAGCAAATTTGTTCTAAGGATCAGGTTTAAAGTTTGGAATGAGTCAAAATTAAGATAAAAAAGAAGAAATTCCCCCATAAAATTAAGATAAATAATTTAATTCAGTACCCTCTACTATTTTTCAGAAGCCTGATGCATTTATGAATAATTAATAAACAAGCAATTAAAATAAGCCCCAGTAGATTTCTAGTGGATTTGGTCAACCAGCTTCTTAATAATAATTTTAGCAATTTTCTGCTCCATAAAAATAAGATAAAGAAGAAGAAGAAAAAAAATAATCTTTATAATCTATGAATAAAAGTCCTTTTGATAAATCTACAATCCTGAATTAAAATTAGAAATAAGACGCTTAAATGACTAACTTTTCTAGTTAAAACTCAGCTAATTAAACTGATGCTCAGAATTAAAGATAAGATAAATTTAGTGATGAATCTTTAAACTTTGGTGTTAAAGTTAAATGTAATTGCAGCGGAACCAATTTCAATTAGGATAAAAAATAAGCTCCTCTAGCATTTGACTACAGCAACTAATATGAACTTTTAATTGGTGGCCTCGGTGATAGAGGAATGTATGAGTTATCTTCAAGTAATTAGACAAGTTTATTGAATCAAAAAGTTAGCACAAATTTCTATGATATAATTGAATAATTTGCATTGATTTACAGAGAGTCAAATATTTTGTAAAACAGCTAGTAAGAGATGAAATAATTTAATGTGACTAACCAAAGGAAAGCTGATTTTCAAAGAGAGTTGTAAAGTTATCTTGCCTATTTTTATCAAGTGCAAAATCGTAAAGTGTAAGAAATGACTCAAGCTGAGAGAGATTAGATTTAGTCAATGATACAGATGTTTATAATCTTTGACATATGTTTTTTATCAACATCTAGAGGCTAAATCATTTTTAAATTGCAGAAAGCTATTAAGTAATCTGAAGATTCAAGTAGAGTACTAAGAGAGTTAGAATCTGAAATCCAAACGAATGGCAATACATAATTTAGCGAAAAACTCATCAGAGTATTTGCTAAAGGTGAATTTGAGCAACTT